AACCAATAACTTCATGGGGCTGTGTAGTGTATTGTCTGTTTAATAAACCTGTTATTTTGAAACCCTGAGTTGGGTTTTTGTCTGTTTTCTGTTTCCTCCTTGCCACCACTTATCTCCTCCCCCAAACTCCCAGCTTTCTGCTTCAGTTTCCAGCCCCAAGCTCTCAGCCTCAGTTTCCAGCCCCAAACTCCCAGGTTTCTGCCCCAGTTTCTTTCCTGGCTGTCTCCTTTCCCTTGCACTAGTGATATTGAGTAACTCTGGGGCCAATTGACCTTAAGTAACCCCAAGCCTTAGTTCCTCCACCCAGCTTCTCTCTAATCTACCAGTTCTAATTTCAGTTCCGGCAACTTTTATTCCTTACATTTTCTCTCTCACCTTAACCTTCTCCCAGGTATCCCAAGTACCCCAAACACACATACATACCATCCCATCCCAGTTAGGAACTCACCTGTGTGTATGTGTAGGTGGGTGTTGTGTGTGTGAACACACACACACACACATATATGTCATCATGTGCATGATATATGAATTAGTGATCCATGTATGTGTATGGAGTGTGTGGGTATTGACAACTGATTGTTGTCTAATTTTTGGTGTGTAGTATGTGCTTGGTGATAGATATGCATGTGCCTAGGCTGGTTTGGATGTGTATGTGCCTGAGTTGGGTGTGTGTGTGTGTGTGTGTGTGTGTGTGTGTGTGTGTGTGTGTGTACCCAATTGATTTGTGTGTTTGTATATGTACAATTGTGTCACACCCTCCTGTCTAACAGAGCAATATTGAGATCCTGAGAGTTGGCCTGACCCCACAGGGCAACACGAGTTTCAAAGGTCAAGCTGGGCTTGCCTGCAGGGAAACAGAAACTAAAGTAAGGAGAGGGAGGGGGAAGAGGGGGGAAGGTGGGGGAAGGAGTGCTCTCATTATTGACTGTATAGCTGGCCAGTGACTGTCATCCTTTCCTGAGGTCCCTTCTAATCCCAGTGCTCTGGGGGAGGGATGGAAAAACTGCATAAAAGGCAGCATTGTTTGAACTGCCCTGCTTTCTGCCTTGGTGTCAGTTGAGTGAGGGCGCACCTTAACACACACACACTGTCACCCACCCATGTCATGAGTTTTGCCTGTGAGCAGCTAGAGGTGCAGGGCCCCAGAACTCAGGCTCCCCCTGCACCTATCTCCTTGACAGCTGGCAGGCTTCGTGGCCACAGCACAGCCTAGCAGGCCTGCAGTTTTCACCTCCCTGTGCCCCAAGACAGACACAGTCCTACAAGCACCCATGTCATGAGTTTTACCTGTCAGCAGCCAGAGGTGCAGGGCCCCAGAACCCCTTGCACCTATCTCCTTGAAAGCTGGCAGGCTTTGTGGCCTCAGCAGGGGCTAGCATGCCTGCAGTTTTGACCCTGCTGTGGCTTAACACATACATGTGACATGAGTTTTTTACTTTCAAGATTTGAGGTGCAGTTTCCCTGAAACCCCTGCACCTATCTCCTTGAAACTTGGCAGGCTTCATGGCTTCAGAAGGGGCTACCAGTCCTGCAAGTTTAATCCAAATCAGGTCTGAAATGACAAAGTTAGAGGCTGTTTCATGCTTCCCCATTATAGCCTATGGGCGAAACGTTGAAACAGCGGCGAAACAACAAAACTGTTTCAATGAAACAAAATGGAACAGCAGTTTCGAATCAAAATGAAATTTGAAATGAAACACTGTTCCATCGAAACAGAACACTGCCATTTCACACAGCCCTATTTGATAGCAACCTTTAACTACCTGAAGGGTGGTTCTGATGAGGATGAAGCTAGACTGCTCTGAGTGGTAGCAGATGATAGAACAGGGAACAATGGTCTCAACTTGCAGCAAGGGAAGTTTAAGTTGGATATTAGGAGAGACTTTCACTAGGATGGTGGTGAATGGGTTACTTAGAGAGGTGCTGGAATCCCCATCCTTGGAAGTTTTTAAGGCCTGGTTCAATAAAGCCCTGGCTGGAATGATCTAGTTGAGGATAGTCCTGCTTTGAGCATAGAGTTGGACTAGATGGCCTTCTGAGGTCCCTTCCAACTTTAATTTTCTATGACTTTATTATATTAAATAACATAATTAAGTGTTATGAATGGCTCTTCCTCCCAACGAGGGAAATTTGGGCTGCTGAAGTGAAAATAACTTTTTTTTTTTAGATGTGCTTGAGGCTCAGGACTAACTTGATAGAAAAAGGGAGTGATGTCTTGTTAAGAGCAGTTGATGATGACCATATCTACCAATTACAGGTTAGATTGTTTTGTATGGAAGACAGATGAAGAGACCTTACATCCATAAGGATGACCTTCTCAAGTTCTCAATCAGTTTTTCTCTCAGGTGGGAAGGATTGTGGGGGTCATGTGTAGATACGGCAGGATACATCTTTCCAACACCACAACTTGCAAGAATCATCCTCAAGGTGGGTGATCTGCAGTCCTAATGAAATCCTTGAATGATCAGAACTATTTCCTGGAAGCAAGAGGGTATAGTAAGAAGAAACTGCAGGCAAGAGGCTATGATGACAGTGCTGCATTCAACATTTTCTTGGGTGCTTCACTCTGCTGCCTTTGCATCTATTGCCTCTGAGTTCATCTCTCAAAATATCTTAGAACTGGATGTCTAGAGGTCATGGAGTGAATCTGCAAGGCATTAAAGTTATAAAGGTAGCTCTCTCAAATACAGTACACTTTCTGCATCTCTCCCCAATTGAGATTAATCTGATGGGAGTCCCTTCCTTCAATGATGCAGAAGACTTGACAGAGGTCTTTATTGTCATGGACATTCTAGGCACATATGTTTAAACAAACAAACAAGCAAACCACATAACAATCTTGTAACAATAAAGCTAAGCAGATGTTTATTGAAACCCATTCATGGGCCACATCAAAAGCCCTGAGAAAAACAGAGGATTTAAAACTATCAAGAGAAACAATACCCTATCCAAAGGTCAGTAAAAAAAGGGCTGTGTGTTGCCCTTACACTGCAGAGGCAAATGAACAAATCAGATCCTCCTGTGCAAGCCAAAGGCTCCCGTTGCTTCCAAACAGTCTGCCCAAAAAAGCAAGACAGTACATAAGGTTCCAGAAACTCAGTAAGAGTTGTATCCATAGGTCAAGGGCAGCATGTGTCCCAATGTGACAGATGAGAAGTGAGAAATGTCATCACGTTCCTCCAAAATCAGCAGCATCTGTTTGTGTAGAGCCTCTGTTAAAATCAAAGTGTCAGTTTCTAAGGACAGTCTGCACCCTGGTAGGGTAGTACTGCAAAGGCAGTTTAAAACACTGTTAAGAAGCCCAGAGCAGTTAACGTCTAAATTAATAATGAGTTTTGTGAAGGGAACTGTGTACTGGAGTATGAGCTCATTCTTGTAGCTCATCCATGCCCATTGGACTGTCCAAGAATATATGCCAAAGGAGTGGTCACCTTTCTTTGCAGTCTGAGTGATGATGTGTCAGGAGATTGCTGCTTTCATTCATGGGATCTCCTTTCAAAGCTATTGTCTTGCTCTCTGGTACCCCAGAGCCTGTATGCAGCAGAGGAAGAGAACCAAATTGTTATACACTGCTTTTATTCCCACTCCATCACCAAATTTAAGAGATTCCTTCACCAAGGAAAAATTGTAGGCTGCATTAGTACTGCTTTATGGAGCTGTAATCAAGTAGTAGAATAGGCCATATCTCAGTCCTTTATCCATAAAAGGACTCATAGCCTTCACATCTAGCCTGAGAGAGTGTCTGCTATTAGCATTTGCAACCTGATATGAGCTACCTAGCTGATATATTAATTGTAGGGCTGTAAGAATAATTCAGCCTTCAGATACTATAAAAAGAAGGTCAAACAGCGGCTTTAATTTTATGAAATAATTATTAACACACTTGCATACATATGGGGCACATCTACATATTGCTCTACAGCAATGTTGTTACTGCACTGTGCTTTAGTACTTCCTTTTGGAAGTAGTAAGGCATGGTGCTATAACTGCCTGTGCTGCGCTGTATGCATGGCACACAGTTATTTTTAGCAGCTACTTTGCTGTAACAGAGCACTATAATGGGGAAGCGTGCTGCTACGGCAAAGTAGTTGCAGGTCATGTGTAGACACCTGTGGGCTCTACGTTGCCATAGCACATCACTACGGTGACATTGTCACATGTAGACGTGCCCACAGAAGCGCATTTTCAGACTGATGGCTACAAAAGTTCCTGAACCTCATAGTCTCTACTAATGAGAAATGTGACTAGGTGCCAAAATGAAAACTTTTTCATCAAACAATATGACAGGAAAGAGAACTCTAATGAATATTTTGGCACATTTATAGCCATTTTTTGGCTCATTTAGCACTCAAGAGACAGGAGATCATAATTAAAGGAAATAACAGCAACTCCAGACAAGCATTTAAATATTTTCCTTGTGCTGTCAATGCACCATTTCATATTACCTAACATCAGTCTTAAGCAGTGTAGAGCACACATGTATCAAAAAAAAAATCCAGCTAATAACTAAAAACGAATTAAGCCTAAATGTACTTTTTAATTGTGTTCAAAGTGTTTAGAGTGTGGCTTTATTAGCCATTTTTTTAAAGAACTATTTATTTCCAAATAATTTATTTCAGCTTTGAATTTCTTTTTTGAAATACATCGCACCTTGGAGAAAGGTCACATATCTTGCAATGATAAAAAAAAAAAAAAAAGAATCACAGTGTGCTCATAAGGGGAAGACCTTTGTTATGTAAAAGGCGTTTTAATACCCACTATATCATTTGGTAAAGTATCAAGCATGTTGAACATTTTATAAAGAGATGATTTACTATAACCAGGATTATTCTTATAATGATATAAGGGTAGAATTTTCTAGTTTTTGTTCCACAGCCTTTTCTTTTTTTTTTCCTTTTTTTTAAAGAATCAACTTAGCAGCAATGATGGGGCCAAATGAAGTTATTAAACTCTTCTGATTTCTATTTCTTTTGATAAATGTTTACCAACTTCAACCACAACTTCTTGATTTGTGCCTACGGCATTGGGGATTCTCTGATGGTCACTATCCGTGGGCCAGCAAAGGCTCGAGCTATTATGAAACTATAGTGGGTGCCCTTCAGTCCAGTACAGACATGGGCTAATATTTCACAGTAAAACTCAAAATATGTTTGTGATATTCCTCCTCTGTTTCCACTGATTATTGTATCTGCAATATCATTTCCCAAAACTACCAGTCTGCACAATTTATGCAACTCTTCCAGCAACCTTTTTCTTTATATTTTCCTACTATGGTAAGAACAAAAGGCTGGGTTTTAACATAATAGGAAGAAGAAAACAAACAAGAAGGACCTTGTCTGTTATTTCAGGTGCTACCAGGAGGGTTCCTAAAGCAAATATGATTATTCTTTTAATAGATGCTTTATTGTAATTGAAGTTACTATGGAACCTACACAATTTAAGACTAATTTACAGCCCAACTGTAATTGGTCTTCACACTGCTGTGCAGATGGACAAAAAGTACTAAGAGTTCCTCACATGCCCTTACCCGGCCTGGATGCATTGCTAAACTGCACTAGTAAAGAGTGGGTCTTA